AAATCAGCCATTGACTGCATATGGGCAAAGCACTTACCCTTAATATTTGCACTTGTCACATTCCACTTTTAAGGGTTGAGTGACAATAGAACAAAATAATTGCATACAGGAAGCTTGTTCGGAAAGAAAGGAAAAACTCCCATTTTCTCAGGCAGAGAGAAACAACCACTTAACTTCATTTGCACTTAGAAGCTATTAGAAATGTGATGGTGAGATCCGAACACTAACCAGTGAGTCTAGGAAATTAAATATTGGTAACAAGAGGAGTTGCCACGGTAAGAATTTTATTTCTTTGTACAAAATAAAGCCAATAGCTGCAGATTTTAGCATGGTGGTTTGGTTTAGAATTACCCGTCCCCTTCAGTTTCTTTTCATAATTCACAGTCGGTGAGCCTGTTCCTTAAGAGAATGCTCCAAACAACCATTTGTGCTGCTGAGAGAGCCAGACAGACTGACTCTGGTTGGCATAAATGGCATCAATATTGGGGGCTCCTTCCTTGGCTCAAAACTAGGCAGCAGACTTGGGTGGCCTGCCCTTCAACTCATCCAGGCCTAGGATGCAGCAGGCAGCAGGGGACAAAGCCAAGGAAGTTTCAAGTCTGCAGCCAAAGGGCGTGTGAGCCAAGTCCCCAGGGCTGGCCTGTTCCAGTGTGCACCATTCAACCATTCTGTAAAAATCTGTTCAAGTGTATGATGCATTCCATCCTGCTGGGCATGAAGATGTAATTAATACAGTGAAGGTGGCATCCCACCCGCAAACAGCCCTCTTGCAAAGGGAACCAGAAAAGCACTGCACAGTGCGTAGATTTTCACCAGTGGTATTTCTGTTTGGGAGGGCATGGATGGAAGCCATGATGAATGAGGCTATTTCACAGAGAATTTGGAGAAGGGTTGATGTCAGCTAGGGTGGCTCTTCCCAGGCCCAGCTTGCAATCGCCAAGGGAACAAACTATTCATTTGAGAAAAGTAGATTCTGTCACTAATAGCTGACATCTCTGATGCACAAGTAGCATACTCTCAACCCCATTGACCTGAATGAAACAAGAAATTAGCCAGGGATGTCCTCAAGATAGTTGAGGTCTGGTAGATAGGCCATGTCTTTGCAGAAGTGTCTTAAAGCATAACCCTATGACAGGAAGTTATGAACAGACTAATAATCAACTTGGTGGCTGGGGAGATGAGGTATTGAAAGTCAATGTGCCAAGTCCATCACAAATGTTATCTAGGCAATAGGAATGACCTTATTAAAAATGACAGACAAGCCAGGCGTTGTGGCGCACACATTTAATCCCAGCACTCGGGAGGAAGAGGCAGGAGGATCTCCATGAGTTCAAGGCCAGCCTGGTCTACATAGTGAGTTCCAGGACAGCTGGGACTAGAGGGAGACCCTGTCTCAAAAAGAACCTCCCCCCTCCCTGAAAAAAATAACAGACAAGCATTTCTCTGTAAAAGTAGTCTCGAGAGATGGCTCCATAGTTTAAGAGCACCGGCTGTTCCTGCAGAAAGCCCAGGTTCAAATCCTAGCATCCACATGGCAGCTAACAACTACCCATAACTCCAGTTCCAGGGGAATCCAATGTCCTCTTCTGTCCTCCTCAGGCATTGCATGACATGACCAGGCAGGCATAACACTCACACATAAAATAAAAATAAATTAATAAATAAAGATGTGTCAGGCATGGTGGCACACGCTTTTAATCCCAGCACTCAGGAGGCAGAGGCAGGCAGATTTTGGAGTTCAAGGCCAGCCTGGTCTACATAATGAGTTCCAGGCCAGCTGGGGTTACAGGGACATCCTGTCTCAAAGACCAAAAAAAAAAAAGGTACAATCTCAGATTAAAAAATAGAAAATGTCTACTATAAAGATACAAAAGTAAAACTACGTACAACTGTACAACCATTGCTGTTATTGTTTCATACAGGTGTTTATAAGCACACGCACAGAACTACACTGCCTCTATATTTTGCTTTTGCTCTGGTCATAAATGGGTAGTCTGAAAAAATATGGACTATAATGTGAATATTGTGAGTAGATATTTGAGAGTATCACCTGGCTATGAAATAATTTTATATAAGGATTTAGCCACTCTATTAAGGGAGATTCTCTGTCTTCCCACACCTAATCTTTTCATATGAAGGCACACTGCACTGTGCATCTCAGGTTAGACAACATCCGTACCTTGTTTTCGGGACCCTCTGTACTTTTGAGGTCGCTCTGCTCTGACTTACACAGTATTTTTTGCAATGTTCCTAACTGTTAGAAGCCATGGTTTCTTAAGCTCCCCTTGAACTCCTGGGAGCTCTGAAATGTGGGGCGTGTTCTCCACTGCTCCCCAAAAGCTCCCTCTACGAGAGCAGACAGACTTCTCCAGTGCCCAAGCCCTTTCCAGAGCACCTCCCCTAGGCTCTGTCCAGCCCTAGATCTGACTGAGGCAATCCCCAGCAACCAGGAGTTTGAAGGACTCATATTTCCATCTCATTAGCAACAAAATTTAACAAATGAGCTACATTAATAATTCATCATTGACTCCTTTTCTCAGTGCAAGTCACATTTGCACTTGACCTACCTTTAGTTTGTTCTATAAATATAAAATCTCAGCTACAATTTGTCATGGAAACAGTTTCCTGTAATTTAAAAATATTGTGAGCTGCTTATAAAAGATTCAGATTGCCAGGCATGGTGGCACATGCCTTTGATGCCAGCACTCAGGAGGCAGAGGCAGGTGGATCTCTGTGAGTTCAAGGCCAGCCTGGTCTACATAGTGAGTTCTAGGCCAGCTGGGGCTACAGGGAGACCCTGTTTCAAAAAGACCAAAAAAAAAAAAAAAGATTCAGATTGTTGAATGTGTTGGTATGTGATCATAATCTTATTTTTGTTTATGATTTTTAAAATCCCAATACAAATGGCATATTTATGGAAGAAACGGCTTTGAAAGTGAGTTGCTCAGTGGCCCATAACACCCTGTGTGGTCTACCTGACTGCTTCAGATTCTGCCTGGGATGAGGCATCTGTGCAGCTGGACTTTGCTTGCCTCCACTGAAGGGACTTCACACTCATCTCCTCCCACAAGATCCAGTGGGGCTGAGCACACAGCAAGCATATCAATAGTGGTCCCTGTGACTATGAAAGCTACCTGCCACTGCAAGGACTGAAATTTAGTCACTTAACATATTACCAAAGCAATTTTCAGAATCAAAATGTGTGGGTCATGAGGATAAAGAAACAGATAGGTGTTTTAGAATCTGAAAAATAGGCCTTCCCTGTTCATGGCTGAGGAACCAGGAAGGTGCTTGTGAGGAAGTTCCTTGTTTCCTTTTTGTACAAGACAGACACTAAGTGGAGGTTGTGGTCGGGGGTGACTTAGGAAAGAGGAAAAGTCTCTTTGGGTGACCTGAGTTTCTCCCCAGAGACCCCCTGGCAAAGTAATGGTACATATTCCAAAATGTCTAGACTTTGTCTAAATAAGAGAATGAGGTGGGAGGAAGCAAAGCATTGGCTGAATCTCACAGTAAGACTTCAGAAAAGAGATCTTATGCTCTGTGGTGGTAAAAGGGAAGGTAACCGGAGGGCTGAGAAATTTCAATGTCAAAGTCTAAGAACCTAGAGTAGAAAGAAGGATAATATCCTATATGGCTAAAGTGTTCGTGAATTAAATCAGATTACTTAAGTACAGTTTTCAGAGGGAGAAGGCATGCAACCAAGAACAAACACAAAGAGAAGTGCCTGGGAAAAAAAGTATATAATGAAATAAAACGGAATGAGGAAAGTCAGCATAAAGGAGCCTTTCTGTCGTGTTCAAAGGAAAACAAGGAACAGGGAATGCAGGGAAGGGCTGGCTGCTCCTGAAGTGGATGCTATGATGCTAAGACCACCTACGGCCATCATTCCCAGGAATGCAGGGAAGGGCTGGCTGCTCCTGAAGTGGATGCTATGATGCTAAGACCACCTACGGCCATCATTCCCAGGCAGGTTCCATCATGCCCTCTGTGCACACAGCAGCCAGCAGAGCAACCAAGACAACTCACCGCAAACCCAACACAGCAGAAGCCAGGATTATTAACTCCTCAACTGTCCTTTACTTAGAGAAAAAAGATCTTTGGAATGGAAAATATGGAACCAACAGTGTAAGTGAAGACACCAAAATGAGCGTGCCTGACTGAAAGGGAAAATTTATGTCACTACAAGCAGTACTTGCTAATATGTTGGGGCCTCAACGATGACAGGTATCTCATTTAATATTTTAATTATTTTTATTTTGTGTATGTGTTTTGCCTGCATGTAACTGCACCCAAGTTGTGCAATACCCATGGAGATCAGAAGAGGGTGCCAGAACCCCTGGAAATGGAGTTACAGGTGGTTGTTAGCCACCATATGGGTGCTGGAAACCAGAAGCAAACCTGGGTCCTCTGCAAGTGCTCTTAACCACTAAGCCATCTCCAGTTAGCCAGTCCCAACACAGGTATCTTAAGAGGAAGAGAATGCCATTGTCAAACTTATTAATGAAATGTCCCTCACCTTCTTTCTAGTATGTACATAACCACTTTGTAATACAACAGTATTATATCAACTTTTAGCATTATATCTGATTACATTAGGAAATACATTCCCCATTTGTATGCAAAATTTTATTATAACAACTTTTTGCTCCAAGGTATTTTATACGTGGACTGTTTTGAAAATTATTAAAAGTAATTAAAATGACAACATTTTCCCTCTGGTACAGCATTCTAATCCAGGCAGTTTCTTCGGATATTTGTTATCTTTATCAGTATGCTGTTCCAATATTTTCCTAAGGTAAAGACACTTTACTCAAAAGCAAATGAAAGCAGTGGGCAGCTGTGACAGGTGAAAGGACACATCACAGCTTGTGTTCGATGTGTGTGGAGGGTAGTTTGTAAATGCATCCAAATTTGAAAATAAAATCCAGCAAATGAATGGTATCATGTGTGTTAGTGGGAAAGAGATATCAGGAAACAATGGAAGGACAAGCAACTTTTTGTAATTATGAACTTTATTTTTATTTACTATGCCAACATTTTCAAGAAAGAGACTTTACATCTGATTTTCATAATTCATTTTACAGGCAAATTCTAATATACATTATGTACTCTGAAGTGGTTTTGAAACTCCACGGGAAAAACACACTGCAGATACTATTTCTGGTTTTTGTTAGCCATGACTTAGATACTCAGGAGTCATGACTTAAAAGAGATTTTACATTCTTAGGGCCATCATTATGTCATGATGGCAAAGCTCTATCAAGGAGAAAGGGAGCAGTTTTTCCCCAACAAGATTAAGACATAATCTTTCATCAATAACATAATTATAGAACCCTCATAATCACCTCTCCAAATGGATCCTCTCAAATTGCTGCAGCAGAAAACTTAAAAAGGACATTTGGAAAGACCAACAGAAGATGGAATTCAAGCATCAGAATTAAGAAAAGAGCAAGGCCATCATCCCCAGGGAAAATAAGTATTTGTATTACAGTTCTAACTAATTTTCAAATGTGTGCATAAGCATGCAAACATAACCACCCAAGTTAATTCAGCAACACGAAAGCTACTGTGTAGGAATGGAGAGGGTGTGGAATTGGTGCTGCAGTCTTACTGGCCTTCAATGCAACCCCAGTGCCCAGGAGCCCAGGAATCCAGAAGTGCACCTGCATTTGGAACACAATCTATGCCACGGGACCTTTTCCAAGTGACAGCTACAGGGGTCCCATTCTCTTTGATGTATTGAGTAAAATACTTAAAATGGACAATGGGCATTCAAAGAAAACTTAGTACTACAATGGGCAAAGTGACATGCTGGGAGTGTAGGTCTGTGAAAGGCTGTACTGATATCTTTGAACAGCAACAGTGACAGAAATTCACTTCACTAAACAAAGCCACACCCAGGAGGCATTTTGATATTTCAGGCACAACTCCAAGCAATTAAGCTCATTTAAAGTGCATATCTGATATTTTCTTTCATATTCAGATTTCTACTTTTAAAATGCTTAGTAAGTTCCCTAATATCTATATAAATACAACAAACAGTAGTCTATATGCCTGAAAATATTGCACAAATGAAAAATGAGACTCCAAGAATAACAGATAAATGGTATCAGTTATTAGAAATCTTCTAAATGATACAACTCTATAATCCCTTAATGCCTTAAAGGCACTTTCCCTGTGCCAATAAACATCTTAGACAAAGCCTTCTTTCAAAAATATTGATATCCATCTGGGCATGCTGGTGCTGGCTTATACACCAGCCCTTGAGAGACTGAGGCAGGAGGATCGTGAATGAATGTAAAGCTTGCCTGGGCTACATAGCGACACCTAACTCAAAAATAATTTTTTTTTGAAATGCATCCTATTAAAAGCCAAATATATAATTCTCCATACCTTTTTCTCTTTCATAAATGTAAACTTAACCAACCCCTTTCCTCAGGACTTAGAAGTCAACCACTTCAACCATTTTCACTGAGAGAGCTAAAAGAACAAGTAAATTCTGTGGAGGAACGCTTGGCACTGAGCTGATTTACAGAGCAATAAAGAGCGATCAAGCCAAATCCGAGCATGGCCTCTGATTATTCAGTAGCGTTATATCCTCACTTCCATTCTAATTTAACATTTACTAAGCAGCAGACAAGATGGTATTCTTGCAGCTTTTAAGGAAAACTGCAGGCAAATACTCGATGCTGTTTATGGAAGCATCCTAGGTATTTTCTCAACAATTATGCTTCAAAATTACAATGATGAGGGCTGGGTATGTAGCTCACTTGGTAGAGTGCTTTTCTATGATTCATGAGCCCCCCCAGCAATACATAAACCAGGTGTGGTGGCTAACTCCTTTAATCCCAGCCCTCTGGAGGTAGAGGCAGAGGGATCAAAAATTCAAGATTATCTTCAGATAAACAGGGAGTTAGAGGCCAGCCTGGAATACATGAGACATTGTCTCAAACAACAACCATAAAAAAAGAAAAAATAGAAAATTATATTCACGAGCCTATCGTCTATTAAGAAAAAGGTACAGAGAAGGTGAACTAATGGATTAACATTTCTGCAAATTCATCAGGGAGAAAAAAACAGAGTGGGAAAAATACTAGAATAAACAAATTGCTGGAGTCAACATTTCTACATAACAGACAATTAAAGACATTTTCCTCACCCTAGGGGCTTAAAAATAAATTTAAATTAAGATTTTCCCCTAAGGATAAGACCAACTTATAAAAATATTTTGTGAATGCCTATACCAATCTTCTAAGTCAATTAAAACCATACTAATTCATGAGCATGTTTTATCTTAGGGAATAGAGTAGAAACATGTACCACGTGTACCTAGAGCTACCCTGGTTCACTTCTATCAACAAGGAACCCTGTGTGGACAGTGTGACAACTATGGTAATGGTGTCTGCACTATGTGCAGGATGTCCTGAACATCAGTCTTTCTCTGATGGAAGCGCTATGTTGTGAGTGTATGCTACTAGATCAGTGTGCTCATCTGGGCCTAAACCCAAGACATTCACTTGAGGGGTTCGGACCAGTAAAGACTGCATCAAAATGACAGCACACAGCACTTTGGAAATTTCCACTAATGCGCTTGATGCTGTCACTTAGAAAGGGGCAGATATTTTAACATATATACATTTTTAAAGGAATCCCTGGAAATAATTTTACATCTGATTTTCATAATTCCTTCTGATACTTTTTGGGGCCATAATTCCTTTTGATACTTTTTGTGGTCAGTTAATCAAAATTGACCTTGTGAGGTTATCTGTCTGAAAATTATTAATTTGAATTAAAGCAGCTATGGATGACAGCCTAAAGGCGACATTATTTGGAAGAACAGAACGTAAATTTAAGTGGCCTCCAGCATAACTGAGCTCCTATCCACAGTCACAGCTACCTTTTGTAGCTCATTAAAATGAATAATATCTTTTAATGAGGTACAGTTTCCTATCTACAATTTAATTTTTTCTTCCCAAATCTACTTTTAAAGAAACTGTCATTCAAACTTACAGAAAAGGGAAACCTAGGAAACTCAGAAAAGTAAACCTATTATTAGCCTTAAATGTATTTTTTTTTCTGAAAATGTTATAACCTATTTTGCTACAGAAAACAAATTTTAAATCCCACTGAACAGGATACTTCTATTCCATCAATATTTTGTGCAAATATTTCAAGTCCATTATTCCAGTCTTTGAATATTAGCAAAGCCAATAAGTGGAAATATTACAATACTTAATTTAAAATGTATTTTGTGGAACCTTAAAATAGCTATGATGGATTCAAATTCAAAACTGAATTGCTAGCAAAACTCTAACACGAACAGAGGTTACAAATGATATGCCTTTAGGCATTTCAAGCTCTCCAAATTTATCCAGTAGAAATACAAGCAAATGGTATATGTGTGTGTGAAACAAGGTGTTATATATATAAAATGAATACTGTCAGCCTGGGGATTTGTCTGATAAAAAGATAAACAGTAGAACTGGGTTGATGATCCTAGAAAGGAAAAATAAAACTTACATGGACTTCCCATTAAAAGCCTGATCTTTATTCATCACAAAGCTTTTGCATAGACCTCTTAAATATACAAAACACTGGCCAGAACTGTTTACAGATTACCACCTTCCATTGTACTATGTATCTTTAGGTAAAACAGTAGTCAGTCACAGGAGGGATAAACAAAGGAGTAGGGTTCTGAAAACCAGAGTCAATATGGACACTACGACAGAACTAAATGAGCAAAACACACATCTTGCCTGTTTTAAGTGGAATATTACTTTTTTGGATGTGCAGAGAGGTGGGTAGGAGGCACGGAGACTGTGGAGGGCCTCTGAGATGGGTAAGTAAACTTGTGTTTACCTGAGACAAATATGTTCATATGGTATAGACTTCAACCAAGATATAAAATGGAAGAGCCAAACCAGTAGAAGCTTCCACATTTTAATTTTAAGATTTGCTATAATGGAACCTCCAACACAGTAGCAAACTGCACATAAAGCTATTACAGAGCAGACCGTTTTCAAAACACAAACTGGCAGGTGATGGCTATGTACTTAATGTATCTTTGGTTTAGGAAGACGAGAGTATCGATTAGAGGCCAAACAATCCCCAGAATGCAAACTGCCATGAGGACTCTGCAGGATTTCTCTTTGCCGTGCACTGGGCCGTGGGATGCTTGTCTTGGCCTGGAAGTTTTGAGGCTGTAGTTGGGAATTGCTTATTTGTTTTTGTTTGAAAGGGCCAGACGGGGGGCGGAGTTTAGATACTTTAAGATTTAAATTATTTGCAAGATTTGTTTGACTAGATGTTAGCTGAAGTTTCATTGAATTACATGGTGTGATTACTGGTAACTTCTTACAAGTGGAAGTCCTACTTGGAGATGACTCAGAATCTGGAGGAGGTGCCAAAGAACTCAAGATGGACGGCTTTAAAAGCTGCAAGGATGTGGGCTGAGACCGGTTCTTTCCAACTCTCTTAGTCTGGTCCACTGTACTTGACTGGGGAGGTGTCTGAGGAGGAGTAGGTTCAAACTGCACATCACTAATTTGATTCTTTGCCGAATGATAAGGCTCTTGAGCATTCATGGTCACATTCGGAGTAATTTCAGGTGTATCCTTCACTACATCTATCGTGAACTGTGGGCTAGATGAACGGTCTTCCAAACCATAGTCGTTTTCTTGTGGCAAGCCCTGTGTAAAGCTTCCATCTGGATGTGCACCACCCTGATACATGTCCTGGATTGCATGCTCACTGTGGGCCTCGGTATGTTGTGGCTTTATTAGTTTTCCCTGGGTGTGGTCTGTGGGTCTGGGAAGGCTGCTGGAAGGCTGTAGTACTTGAGGCTGTTAAAATTAAAAACAGTATTACCAACAATTTATTAGAAATCCACTCAGAGTTCATGCAAGTCCAGTTACGTAGTACTGCCAACCTACTAATCTTTAATGTGGAAAATATGTGATTTCTCAAAAGTAAAAAAAAAAAGAATTGCAATATTCAAGCAAGTTCATGACACACATTTAAAAGTGATAATGCAAACAAAAAATGATACAAGCAGTGAACACTGAACAAAATACAAAATTAAATGGAAAGCAAAGAAAACCTTGAGTCCTGATTAGAGAGAAAAATAGCCCCTGCCTTATTAGATTCATTATCTGTGACTTATCTACACAGGAACCCAAGAGAATAACTTCTACAGCACCGAGGTTTACCCTCCTTAAGTAGCACTCACATTTCACAGTAACCTTCAGAACATTACTCATTTTAAAGCTTGCTTCTCATGGATGTTACCAAATGCTATACCTCTGCCAAGAATTATCGTCAGACAAAGTTTAAAATAAAGACTGTACCGTCAGTTTAGGTGAAAGTCTAATGATTTCAGCACAAGTAGTCAATACATTTAGCCCACTATATGCAAGGCACTGAGTCAACCCCTAGCACTCCTATGCCTTGTCAGTCTTGGCAGTGACAGCTGTGAGCAGCACCAACATGCAACTGCCTAGAACCGGAAAATACACAGCAGTCAAGTTCTCCAGGCCAACCAGCCTCACATGTACTGTGTAGCTCACTGTGAAGTCACCTTCCACAAAAACAGAGAAAGGGTGCCTTCTCAAATCAGTAAGATACAAGGGTCAGGGACTACTGGACCTGTCTGGACACAGGGGTGGGTTTACACAAATCAGTAATCATTCGTCTCCCACACATACTTTCTATTTAATTGGAAAAGGGTTTTGAACCATGAATAACCATGAATTTTAAGGATCATTCTTCACTAACAGAATAACTTTTACCGTGCTAATCCACAAGAAACCTACACAGTACCTCTCGTGCCTCCTACAGGCATGGGTCTTTTTACTGCATCATTTGTGTTCCTTCATTCTTTGACCAGCACTGTAAAAGTGGATGCCCAGGGTTGGCAGCAAGGGAAAGGACCAACAGGGCTGGGGGTGGCTGAGAACAGGCTTAGGATACAGAAGGATGACTGATGCTCCCCCAGTACTTAAAAAGAAAGCAATAATACCAAGACCTGCACAAGATCAAGTCAGTCAACATTCTAGGATGGAGCAGGGAGGGGATCATGAGCCTCCATCCCTAGCTGAGGAGCTATTAACAATTGATGGCTTCTGGGGAATGGAAAATCAGTTTTCTTTAAGGGTGTAGCCTTGGTAGATCAACCAAGTTCTAGGGGATAGCCCCACACTCTTGAGTATATGGGCAGCACATTGGATTTGGTGAGTAATTAAAATAAAAAGACACAAAGCTGGGCTGAGTGGGGGATGGATTTGGGGAGTTAGGAGTAAGGGGTGAATATGATCAAAAAACATTGCATGAGCTAGGCCTAGTAGTACACAACTTTAGTACAGGACTCTGAAAGCAAAGGCAGGTAGATATTGTGAGATGAGGCCAACCTGGTCTATATATGTATAATAAGTTCCAGATCAGCTGGGGCTACAGGGAGACCGTGTCACCAAAAAAAAAAAAAAAAAGTATGCATGTATAAAATTCTCAAATAATTAGTATTCATTTAAAAAGAGAAAACAATAATCAAAATCACTCCACACAGAGGGATGTTAATATTAAATCTTACTGTAGAATGTTTAAAATAAAGTTCAACCCGGTTGCTGCCAAAAGCTAAATATCCAACTGTAAAGACAATGGACATTTTCATAATCAATTATCACAGAGATAAATGAACTGTCCTTCAAACACAATACATTAAAATAAAACCACCACTAATTAATTCAATAGCTTCTCCTTAAAGCTTCCTGGTGACCATGTAAAAGGGACTGAAAACTTCAAAAAGACCAGTAGGAAAACAGAGCAGGGCCCTGCTACAGATGTCAAATCTACCCAAGGTGAGGGCAGGAGAAGGGTAGCACCAGTGACCAAGTGCATGGGGACGTCTCTCCTCCTTCCACCTTCAAATGCAGGAAGGCATTCTCCCCCAATTCTTAAAATCTCAAAGCAATTTAAGAATTGAAAATATCACTGACAATTTAAAAAATGACACGTTGTAATACATCTATTGCCGGAGGAACAAAAAGGTGCTATTAGCCCCAAGGGATAATACAGAAGTATGCTTTTCTACTTAAGACAAAGAAGTAAGACAGCCATGCCTCAAGAAAAGGTCCACTGTGATCTGGAGATGAGTTATCCATTTGCCCTGCTGATTACTCACATTCCCCAATCGGTCACTGTTAATCAGAGAAATATGTGGGGACATAGCAGAGTCAGAGAGACATGCTGCGTATATTCAATGTAACGAAGCTCCATTTCCAACGCTGAAAAATTAGAAAATGACAAGGTTTCTAAGAATACCATGGTGAGTCTTTTCCCTGAGGAATTACCACTAAAGAGTTACACAAATAAAAGTCGTTATTATCACCTAATTACATTAAATCAATCAGTGATTTCAACATGATAAATAACACAGATTTTTGCATTTTATCAGAGGTTAATTTTAGTGACATGATTTCCCTATTCCAAAACACATGTCCCATGTTTATAAACTATAATTTGGGAAATTCCACTGTTAAAAAGTCTCTTTCAGGCTGGGCGTGGTGGTGCACGCCTTTAATCCCAGCACTCAGGAGGCAGGGGCAGGCAGATCTCTGTAAGTTCAAGGCCAGCCTGGTCTACATAGGGAGTTCCAGGCCAGCTGGGGCTACAGGGAGACCCTGTCTCAAAAAGACCAAAAAAAAAAGTCTCCTTCAAAGAGAACAAGAGAGTTCTATAATGTGAGGTACAAGGTGACAACTGTGGAAGAAGCTTCCCACATGGACTGGGCTGCCATCCAGAAAGAGGGAGCTACCCCTAACACTACTAAACAATATAGATGTACATTGTTGGTCTGTTGCTTACAGTAAATTTTTTCTAAATGCTAAACTTACATAAAGGCAAAATGTCATAATTCATCTTGCCTACACACTACTGTGCTATGCCCACCAAAGATGTCCTTTTACACGTTTAGGATGAATATAAAGATCTCATGTCCTCATGGATAGCCCAAAGACTACCCAGTCCTTGAATGACTATTAAATGTACAGTACTAGGAGTGAGGAAACCTTGATGTGAGCACAACTCTTCCTGTGCTTGATGGACCTCCTGAAGGAGGCCAGGATCGAAAAGAAAACAGAAACCTGGCTGGAGAGGTCACGAAAGGCATGCAGAAAGGGTAAAGAATCTGAACTGAGGTTTTAAAGGATGAGCAGGAATTTGCCAAGTAGACAGAGGAAAGGGCATTCTAAAAAGTGGGCTGGTACATGTGCCATGCCAAACAGTGAACAAGCTGCTGTGTCATTTCAAACGTCAGCAGAATATGGAGAGAACACTGCTGTGGGAGAGTAGGCAAGGCCAGCTCCTAAAGGAACTCACCAACCTAAGCAATTCTGACTTCATGCTGGCCGAGTAGAGCTACTGGAGAATGCTAAGCATAGATCATTTAGGATGACCATATTGGTAGAACCAGTGAGAAGCGTATTGAAGGGAAGAGACCATAAGAAACAGCCAGGTAGTAGCTGCCAAACAGTCCAAGTAAGCTACCTTCAACAACTCAGGTAAAAAATTAGGGGTAAAATCAGGATATTGGGATAGAGACAAAACCGAAAGATTTGAAGGGAGGGAAATTTGAGTACTTCCTGTATCTGGGCAAGGTCTCTGGGAAAGTACAAATCAATCCATGCATTTCATAGCTACTAGCCCACAAAACCCAGAAAGCATAAGAAAGCCCACCACCACTGGGGGATTCAGCAACATCCTGTAGTCATGGGAGTAGAACTTAAGTGGAATTTGCAGGGGGTTTGTTAGTGAAGCTCTGAGAAGTAGCCTCATGTCCAACATCTTTAACTGGGTACAGCAACTTCAATTCTTACAGAACAGCATACCATTCTGCAAATACTCGGGTTAAAGAGTTACATGTGTCAAAATCAACAGCGACAGAAACAGGTACTAATGGGGGTGGGGGGGTGGGGGTTTGCAAAGGCTTGATTATCTTCAATGATAATCTGAAATACCTATATAGACTGCTTGCAAAGATAACAAGAGACTATGAACTCTTGTGCAAACACTGACACACTTTATCTGGCTTTCACAGTAGTTAATATTCCTAGTATTTGGCATGTGGTGGGGATTAAATATATGCCTGTTGTAAAAATGAGTGAGTATCAGCTGTTTATTTAAGAATGGCTTAATTAGCCATAAATTGCCAAAGGGAGACTTTTCTATTAGGTCAATAATAGATCATTAATGATTAACTAAAAACCAATTTTTAAAAACTGACGGACAAATAAATCTGATAACAGTAAATAAATCTTAGTTTCTTTAAGTTTGGTGTTAACTTACTTCATGTTTAGAACAATTACTCAGGTGTTCACTTGAATACAAGTACCTTTCATAATGAGCTACAAGTTTAGCCACCAAATGTTTTTTACTTAAGGTTAGGCATCTCTGGACTTAGGAGCCCAGGAAAGCTATACCAACAAGCATTAAACTGTTTTCCTCTTCTAAGTCTAACAATATGACAGAAACATAAAGCTCTTAGCATAGGGCTTCCTAGCATACAGGAATACATGTTCTCAATATATGTCGCCTATGAGAGGTATAACATGACAAATTAAAGGTATGGCTCTTTTATAACTGTGTCTGGTAAAATTTTTATCATCATAAAAATAAATTGGCTTCTATAGAACATGAGGTTTCTAGGCTCAAATGCATAGTTCAATAGTCTGAGTGTCTACATATTTTAAGTCAGCAGGCATATCTAATTCCAACACCAAAGTGAAGATTCCTTTATTTTCTTCCTGGACATAAGAACTAGAGTTAGAATGTGAAAAGTACAGTAAAGCAC